AGGCAAAAAAATCCCTTCCAAGCCCCCTAAGGCCTTTGCTGTGGCCTCCAACAGTAGAGACCAGCAGTCCAGCCCTCTAAGCCATTTTTTCTTACTTGACTCCACCATTACATGTCCCTTCTTGTGACTTCCTCCAGCAGTAGAGACCAGCAGCCCAACCCTCTAAGCCCTTTTTTACTTGCTTGCCTCCACCATTACATGTCCCTTGCTGGGACTTCATCCAGCAGTACAGACTAGCAGTCCAGAACTCTAAGTCCTTTTTTCCGACTTCCTTCCGCTGCTATGTGTCCCTTACCGGGACTTCCTCCAGCAGTAGAGACCAGCGGTTCAGCTCTGCTATCCAGGGCCACCAGCCTCCCATCTTGTCCTTGTCCCCACTGTGCTGTTACTACTCTGCTGCTGGAGTCTTCAGAACTTGTGAGGACTCTGCTGATGGACAACTAATGGAAGGTGTCTACATTACCAGGCACTGACACCCTCCCACTCTGCAATAAGGGATACTGGACATTCAATGTATGGCATGGAATCTGGCCTAGTATTTTGGTGAGTCTTTGTGGAATATATTGGGGAGATATACTGAAGAACTATTGCTATCATGTCTAATGCAGATCAATGGACCTGCATAAGATGTGATTACATCAGCATTTCTTAGACTGCCTGGGGAAGAAAAGTGAGCAGTCTAGCAGCCCTGGGGGAGCATACGAGGCCAAGGATCAGGAAAGCAAATCTGTTTTATTTGAGTCCGCTAGACAAAATGAGCACTTAACCCTTGCAGTCCTGAGGGAGCTTGGAGTGGTGGTTACTTTACAACACACACAGGGACTATGGAGAACAAAAGTAGCCACCCTTCAGAAGGAAGGACTGTGTCAGCACCAATTCAGAGATGATTGGAGGATCTCCAGCCGAGTGATACACAAATAAGAGGCATTTTTGTTAATAGTTAAGGTACTTGAATGTATTTTGAAGATCTAACTCCTGAGTATAGTGTCACTTTAATGGTATTGCTATAAGTACACATGGGTATGGCCTTGTGCCCATACTAACCAATTACTTAACTCTTTCACTATGCAGCTGCTGTTTTCCAATTTTGGTTGACAGGCTCGTAGGTCTGTAGGCTACATTATGAGTTCTTATAAATGATGGCAATAGGACAGTTTTTATCGATTATCCCCCAAGTTCCTTGAATGTATGATGGCCACAGCAGATATGCAGAAAATGGCTATCCACGGGTCCGCCATTTTGTTGTTGGTGTCCCTGAATCTACTAATTGAAGTGCCACTTAGCTCTTTCCTACATATCTATTGCTAGTTTTTTCCCCATAGTTATGCCAGCCATTGGCTGCATATTTATTATGGAGAAGGCACGGCTCTATAATTAGTCAGTGAATAAGCAACACTTGAAAAAAATGTAACTGCTCTTGAGTCGGATTACCTCAAACACTGGAAAATGTGAAGATTTAAAAACCATTACTTTAGCATTAAAGAGATTACATACAGTTATGTCAGGGTGGCTGTGGGGCGTAGGAGAGTGGAGGGGGTTGTGAATACTTGCATAGCACTTGACTACATAAGAGGTGATGTGAATCACAAGAACTGCTAATCTATACGACGGGAGGAATCGGAAGTGTTTCTTGCTGCCAGCGATTTTCTCTGCTGCGAAGAATCCAACTCTCAGGAAATGCTGTCAGAAGTAAATTCTCTTTATGTTTTTATGGATTTCCATTTTTCTTTTGTTATTTCATTCCTGAATATTTATTTGTGAGCCTCTACAGGGAAACAGCGACTTTGTTGAAAATAAGACCACCCTCAATGTCTCCTACACATGTTACAAGGATTTCAGCAATCTTTACTTGCAAAGTCCCACCTGCACAGAGGATACTATTGTCTTTCATACCTTGTATGTTCCAGCATTCTCTGCGATGGCCGTGCACATTTGCAGCCTCAATAATAATGGTAAAGGTGATGAATGGGTCTTATTATTGCTCACAAGTTTGTCCAGAATAACCCCGTATAGTGTAGATTAGTGGCAGCAGACCAGCAAGACATCTGTTTCTAACGGTGCCCATACACCTGACGATTATCGTATGATAATCGCGGGTGATCCCGCGATCGTACGATAATCGGCAGGTATATGGGCAGCGTACGACCGTATTTACTGTACGGTTGCACGACTTTCGTCTTACGATCACGCTAGAAAACCCGCCGAAAACCGTACGATTTTCGGCCCGGGTTGGTAGCGCGATCGAAAGACGAAAGCTGCACGGGCTGGTGTGCGCACACTGCCCGCTCGGCATTGCAATCATCGGCAAGCCCTCCCCTCCATGGGGAGGGCTTGCGATGATCGCAAGTACAATCTGACTGTGCAAGATGGGCAGGTCATACTAAATTTTAATCACCTTACAACCATCGCACAATGAACGTCGTGCGATGGTTGTAAGGTGTATGGGCAGCTTTACACTGATGACTTTACACTGATGACTTACACTCACCGGCCACTTTATTAGGTACACCTGTTCAATTGCTTAGTAATACAAATTGCTAATCAGCCAATCATATGGCAGCAACTCAATGCATTTAGGCATCTAGACGTGGTGAAGACGGCTCATCAGAATGGGGAAGCAAGGGGATTTAAGTGACTTTGAACGTGGCAAGGTTGTTGGCGGCAGACAGGCTGGTCTGAGTATTTCAAAAACTGCTGATCTACTGGGACTTTCACAAACAACTATCTCTCGGGTTTACAGAGAATGGTCCGGAAAAAAAAGAAAATATCAAGTGAGCGGCAGTTGTGTGGACGGAAGTGCCTTGTTGATGTCAGAGGAGAATGGGCAGACTGGTTCAAGATGATAGAAAGGCAACAGTAACTCAAATAACTCAATACATCCGAGGTATGCAGAAGAACATCTCTGAACACATCGAACCTTGAAGCAGATGGGCTACAGCAGGAGAAGGCCACACCGGGTGCCACTCCTGTCAGCTAAGAACAGGAAACGGAGGCAACAATTCACACAGGCTCACCAAAATTGGACAACAGAAGATTGGAAAAACGTTGCCTGGTCTGATGAGTCTTGATTTCGGCTGCGACATTCACATTTGGTCACTCTTTATGCCCTGATTAAGAAACCCTGTGTGGTCTCGAAACGTTGGCTCTTGTGATTGTGTGACGCCTATGTCCAATAAATGGACATGTTGGATTATTCTACTGAGTGCTGGTGATTCCTTTTCCTATATTGATTTCAGTTGCGACATTCAGATGGTAGGGTGAGAATTTGTCGTAAACAACATGAAAGCATGGATCCATCCTGCCTTGAATCAACGGTTCAGGCTGGTGGTGGTGTAATAGTGTGGGGGATTTTTTCTTGGCACACTTTGGGCCCGTGATGCTATCATGTCAATAAGGACCAAACTCTATGGCGAATGTTTCCAACACCTTGTTCAATCAATGCCATGAAGAATTATGACAGTTCTGAAGGCAAAAGGGGGTCCAACCTAGTACTAGCAAGGTGTACCTAATAAAGTGGCCGGTACACCAGGTCTAGTTGCCTAAATGCATTGAGTTGCTGCCATATGATTGGCTGATTAGCAATTTGTATTGCTAACCGGTGAGATTATTCCTTGAGCATGAAATCAAGAAAAAGGTCCCAAAAAGTCAAAACATTTCTTTAATGCTCTTCAAATGATGGGAATTTTGACTCAAAGCAGCATGAATGCACCCAGGAAAGAGTATCAGCATAATGTTATTGCTTGATGTATAGATAAAACTATGATTTTGAACAATATCCAGAAGAGCGATGTTGGTTTTTTTTTAGGCATCACTGAAAAAACTCATATTGAGTATATAAGAAACAGAGTTTATTTAATACCATCATTAAAATTAACATTTCATAAAATCAAAACATTCTTATGCTCCCCATTATTATGTTATTATATGTCCATGCCCTGGTATAATTAATTTTGTAAAACAGACTTCAATTTCATATCTTTCTTGATTTTGTTAGTTTTTCATTGAGATCCACTTGCGGTTCGAGGCGTTTTGCTTTGGCGCTTCCTCAGGAACCACCGAAAAGTCTAAATAACCATTGTAAGACAGGTAATGAATCTCATTTCATCCCACCATGTCTAAATCCTATTTATCATTATGCATTGCTTACTGAAGCCGGATGTTGTGCCATTTTTTTCAAAAACGAAACAAATGAAAGAACACTTACTTCTTTATATATGAGCAGACATAAACTGACCATCGACCTCAGAGGGGCAACCCAGCTCAAATTTATGCCAACATTCAAGTTAGGGTTACTATAGTAGTTGCAATCTAACTGTACAATCTTAGTACAATGAACTTTAGATTGACCAAAATGTAATATGAGGACCTATCTAAAGTATCCAATCAAATTGCTATCCAATCAGGCAGGCCCCCACAATACATACATGTTGGGGCCAAAGGCTCCCGATTCTGCTTCAAAAGTAGCTTCTTGAAGTCAGGTATTCGAGCTATGGGCAAATTTAAAAGCATGGAATTTTGGCTGTTAAGCATTTTGGAGGTTTGAACTTCAACCTAAGGTGTAAATCAGGGCTAAGTGTTACTCTTGAATCAGCACCCCTTACCTCCTATCCTGAGGATCTCCCAATGCGCATTTGTAGCACAGCTGGAAGCCACTATATTAGTACAAGGCTACTTATCGAACTATGCAGAAGTTGCACACTAAGGATCTGCTCAGCCATGGAAGTCTGAATGCCTCCTGAATTCCTGCTGCCATGTCCTTCATAAGGCAGCCAGTTTCAGCATATTCCTTGGCAACCATCCCAGCTCTATAAGGCACACACTCAATAAAACACGTCTCAACAAGCACCTCCAATGACATTAAAATATCCCCCACTACTGTGCTGTCTGCCACTGTAGTTGCTGTACATACTTTATACCCAAAGTTTAATATGTGAACGACGTCACTTGCTGTCATCCAGTCATTACGCTCACTTGCCAGCTGCATGCTTCATGGTGCTTACCTGCCAAATGTCCGCCTTCAGGGTCAAGCCCTGATGTCCCTCGTCTTTTCTTAATATTTCCTGTCCTTGATCCCCTCCGGCATCAGTAAGACCTGCAATGGACAAATGGATATGAGTGAGATCAAAAACCCATTAAAGTTTGCCTTTAAGAAAAGGTAAAAAAAAAAAATTACAAAGTCATCATTCAGGCCGCAGAATCTAAAGAGGAATCTGCAGACTTGCCAGTTCTGCTCTGATAAGCTGACGGGTCTACTTCTACCCTTCCACTAATGTTACATTATGAAAATTTTAGCAGAAGGATTAAATCTATTATTGCTGCAACAGGAGTGAACCTCCATGGCTGAGGGGGGTGGGAAGGAAGGGGTTCAAGGCTAGAAACTTCATACATTGCTCGGAGTAATCCTTGATTCTGAGCTCTCCTTTCAGCCCCACATTCAATCACTATCCACATCTTGCCAACTCATTCTCCGTAACATTCCCAAAATGTGTCCCTTCTTAACAAATGATACTGCAAAGCTTCCAATTCACTCCCTTGAAATATCTTGCCTTGACTACTGCAATTCCCTCGTTGCTGGCCTACCACTAAGCAGGCTATCCTCCTTCAGTCCATTATAAACGTTGCTGCCAGACTCATCCACCTTACCAACCAACCGTTCAGTGTCCGCTCCTCCCTTCTGCCAATCCCTCCACCGAGTCCCACTTCCCCAACATATAAAATGCTAAATACGTACAATAACCTACAAAGCCATCTACAACTCCGCCCCAACCTACATCAGCCAACCACCTCATCTCAAAATATCACTCAAATATCACTCTTCCCAAGACCTCCTGCTCTCCAGCTCTCGTCACCTCCTCACATGCTCGCCTCCAGGGAGGCCTATTGCACCTTGATATAACAGTACTTTCAATTCTTCCATTAAATCATCCCACACAATTATTCCCTTTTGTATCACTTGCCCCTCCTACTAGAGTGTAAGCCCTCGCGAGCAGGGCCTACCTCCTGTACTGAAATTGTATTCTTAATTGTATTGTTCCCCTCAGTTTTGTAAAGCGCTGTGCAAACTGTTGGTGTTATATAAATCCTATATAATAATAATAATAATAATAATAATAATATATTAGACTCTACTACAGATGCCCCCAGAGCATAGAAGCCAATGGCTGATTCAACTCAACAAGATCATAAATGGTAATACACGCACTGGGTGGGACAAATCTTTAAGAACTAAAGAGTTCAAAAGGAAAAAAAATGCAGTCAAACTTATTCAAAGTAAAGTGCATAAATCTACAGTAAGCAATAACATTTCACCCTCTGAAATGATGTCAGCATGTCTAAAGGCCCCATTCATTGTTGAGTTGAGTGTCTTTGGTAGTTTTTTGGCGTAATTGTACAAAAGTTTTTGGGTGCTTTTCAGGCTTAAAGGATAACTCAACTTCAAAAATATAAACATGATCATCACACAAGCCATTTTGTAATTTTATATTATTAAAAGTACCTTTCCATCTAAAACTGTAGCTGCTGTAATGTTATAAATCTCTCAAAAAAATTCAAAGCAACATGGCAACCTGGAGGCGTTCCATACACAGTTGGTGTATGGGATGCCCTCAGAAATGTCACTTCCTGCTTCTGTAATTTGCCGGTGGATTTTGGCATCCCTTACAATAGGATTTTCATTTTTGGTGCTATATTCCCTAAGGGTTAATTACTACTAAATGGATGCAGACACTGCACCTTTCCTCATTACAACACAGGAAGTCCACCAGCTAATTATAATAAACCCAGACCCTCCCATTCAGGAATACATTTGGAAAGGACATACGGCAAGAAACTGCTATTTCATCAGAACAGAAGTAGGTAGATAACTGCAACAGTTTGTTAAAATAATTTCGTTTTATCTCAACAAAAGTAGAATTAGTCCTAAAGCTTTTTTTTTTTTTTTTTTTACATTTTTAGCTAATGGAAAGCTAGTTACAAGGCAAGGAAACGCATGAAAAACATGCATCTGACCCCATTTACACCTGAGCTTTTGTCACGTGTTCCCTGAAGCGCAACAACGCTCAACATGAAGAATCCCATTATTTTCAGTGGTGTCCATTCACTCCAGGAGATTGTGTTGTCTCCCACTTGTAGCTCACAATGTAAACAAGCTTCGGTACGGGCAGGATCACGTGTTTATGGCCTCATAGTCTTTAATAGGAACCCCATAAAAAACTTGCATAAAGTTAGCACCTTGCAACTGTCTCCTCCCCCTAGTAGCTTAGCTTTCCATTGGCTAAAACAAAAAACTGAAGCCTTAAAACAGGGATGTCCAAATTTCGGCCCTCCAGCTGTGGTGGAACTACGAATCCCATGAGGCTTTGCAAGATTCTCACAGCCACAGACATGACTCCCGGAGAGAGATGCTTCATGGGATTTGTAGTTTCACCACAGCTGGAGGGCCGTAGTTTGGACATCCCTGCCTTAAAATGACTGAAAAGAACACAAAGAAATTGCAAAAGGAGCTAAAAACGCTTCTGAAATAAGCTGAGCTCAGGTGTGAATGCAGACTTATATGTGTTTTTAGGGTTATCCCATAGAAGTCTGTTGAGGACAATATGAAAGACTCTGCCCAAAAAGACGTTCATGTACTTTTCACAAGAACGAGCTTTAAGTGACACTACGCTCAGGTGTGATTGGGCACCATTGAATATATTGGAATCCCTAGTATTGAGCATTTTTTGCGTTCTTGCTGTGTTTTTCAGGCGTTCGCATTGAAGTCTATTTTGCCCAAAATGCACATTTCTGCCCCAAAAGAGGCTCGTGTACTTTTTAGAGCGACGAGCTTCAAGCAACACTCAGGTGTGAAGGGGAACCATTGAATATAAAGGAAATGCCAGTGATCAGCATTAAAGTCTTTCTAGTGAAGCTTACATTGGCACTTCATATCGCTCAGGTGCAAATGGGCCCTTAATGGAAAAGCCCACAAATGTCAAATATTTCTACCAAGTAGCCACCATCTCATGAAGACTATGCAAACATCAAAACATATTTATATTGTTCGTTTTTAGGACATGGTTTCCATAGTAATTAACAAATGTTCAATTTTTCAGCACAAGATTGGCGTGTATCTATACTGAAGCACAGCTATGTATCTATATAATCTAATGGGGGGGGGGCGGGGGGGTAACTGCTGCAATCCCCAAGGGGGAAGGGTAACAGTATCAGTAATAAGATCTCTACGGGTTGCCATGGAAACATAAGCCATGTGATTAGAGTGGAGTTACCACATGACCATTGCCTACTGCACAGCAATTGTATTAAGAAGCACTCATGCAATCACTTATGAATTAAAGGTACCATGATGCAATTATTCCTTGCTTCACACCTTCACCCGGTTACCATGGGAACTCCAAGACATTTTCAATTTCCTGACTCCATTAAGTGCTATTTGCACCTAAATGGCCAAATAATATAAACATCTTCCAGCGTGCGAAGATCTACTACCCCCATAGCCTTCTACTAACATACGTGGAGCTATTGGACATGAATTCCCTGCATCTAGAAACGACTTCCTAGTATGCCATCAATTAGTAGGGGCTGAACCAGGAAAAAAAAAAAGGAACCCTTAATGCAATAGAGACATTTCCGATTGTGAGCTCAGTGAGCTGTACTGTCAATAAGTGCAATCTGATGGAGAAGGTAAGCTAAAGCTGGTCATATGATGCTCAAATTTCAGGTCCAAATGCCTGGTTCTGCCAAAATTCGACATTCAACAAAAGGAGCCATTCTTGGCCAGAGTGTGACAGCATCTAATCAGCTGTAGACGGGTAGTCTGTCAGCAGCACATCCAGCAATGGAAGATTTCCTGATGGTGACAACAGCCTGCGCAGACAAGGACTTAAAGGAGAACTATGAGGTGACTCGTGAGTGATTTTCACTCAACCTTAGTTCGAGCCGACGTGTGACAATTAAATTATCACACGTCGGCTCAATAGATCGGGAACTGAGTAAACACATACCGTCGCTCACTCACTTCTCGATCATGTCCCTGCAGAGAGCTGTGACTGTCACTCACTGCTTCCTGCAGGGATCCCCCCCCCTCCCCGCTCCTCCAGTGCTGACTGGCAGAACGGATGGGGGAGGGTACAGCTGGCTCTGCCTCTAGATAGGCAGAGCCTGCTGTCAATCAAGCAGCTGGGTGGATCTCGACAGTAATATCGGGATCCGTCCCGGCTGCGGCGGTCTCAGTATACTGCGAGCTGTAGCTTGCGATATTCTGAGCTTTGGGTCACGGGAGGAGGCTAGTATATGTCCTCCCGTGACCCTTAGGAGAACTATGGGGAAAAACACTTACCCCATAGTTCTCCTTTAAGCATTCTCAATTTATAACAGCTATTATTTTAATCAAAGCTGCAGATTGAAACAGATTGAAAATAGCTCTGGGAAGCTACATTAGCATGTTAAAGCATAATTGAGTTTTTTTGGGATCGGGTTTTCATATACTTTATTGCTCCTTTAACATCCCAGAGGTGCTCCAGGGTTGTGGTGCACTGCGGTAGGTTCATTTGAATGGGGTGCCAATCATAGTTAAATCTCACTGAAAGAAGTGTGTGCACCTTTTCTTTTAACTGGTTGCCGTCCAGCCCAATTTAAATAAAATGCCAGACAGCAGACACATAGGGGCAGGTGGGCGTTTATATGTGTCCTTTCCTGTTTCCACTTTGAAGAATTCAAGCCTTTGATGTATATACACAAGCGTTGGGGGGCTATAGAGCTGTCCAATCACTTGTATGGTGCAGAAAGGGTGAGGGAAGGGTGCGGGAAGTGTGCACCCCCCTCCCTCCACCACTGCTGCCGACTATCCCGATCACTGTCCTCCGCATCGGCTCTGGACCAGCATGATGGGTCTCTGTGGCTGGATCAGAGGGGAGAGCAGCTCCCCTCTTATCACTGAATGTGGTAGCTGGAGAAGAAGCAGATCTTCAGGGCCCATTCACACCATTTCCGCATTATCTCTAGACCAGACCAGATTGTTTCCGGACCCAAAATGCATCCTGATGTATCCCTACGCCATTTCTGGC